CCCAGGTATTCTAGAAGCAAAAAGTAAAATAAAAATTGAAAACAAGAACAATAAAAAACACTGATCAACTTCTGAAAGTGATCCCAAAATCAAAACTCTCAAGAATATTACAGCCAAATTCTAGAGCTCCCAGGCCAAGGAGAAAATATTGCAAGCAACTTGAAAGAAACAATTCAAATATCATGGAGCCACAGTAAAGATGACACAAGATTTAGCAGCTTCTACTTTAAAAGATCCGGCATTAGGATGTGATATTATGGAAGTCAAAGGAACTACAAGTACAATCAAGAATCATGAACACAGCAAAACTAACTATAATCCTTCAGGGGGGAAATGGATATTTAATGAAATAGAAGCCTTTCAAGTACTCTTGATGAAAAGACCAGAGGTGAATAAAAAATCTGATTTTCAAATACAAGAATCAAGAGAAGCATTAAAAAGGTAAACAGGAAAAAGAAATCATAAAGGATTCAATAAGGTTAAAATGTTTTCATTCCTACATGGGAAATGATAGTTGTAACTCCTGAACTTTATCATTATTAGGGAAGTTAGAAGGAGTATATATAGAATACATGGGTGTGAGTTGAATATGATGGGATTATATCTGAAAAAAATAAAATTAAGGAGTGAGAAAGAGGAATGATGTAGGAGAAGGGGTAAGGGAGATGTAGAATGGGGTAAATTATCTCATATAAAAAAGGTATGAAAGAGAGGGGAAGTTGAGGAGGAGCACTTGAACTTTACACTTATTGGAAATGGCTCAAAAGAAGGAATAACATCCTCATCCATTTGGGTAGAGAAATCTACATTACCCTTACAGGAAAGTAGGAGGGCAAGGAGATAAGAGAAGAAGAGGTCTGATAATAGAGAGAGCAGATTCGGGGAGGCAGTAGTCAGAAGCAAAACACTTTTTGAAGAGGGACATTGTGCACGGAGAGAGAGAGAGCAAGAGTAGGATAAACAGGGGGAAATAGGATGGAGGGAAATACAGAGTTAGCAATCACAACTGTCAAAAAAAAACTTAACAGCAAGTTTTTCTGATAAAGGTCTTATTCCTCAAATATATGGATAACTGAGTCGAATTTATTAAAAAAATAAGAATGATTCCCAAAATGATAAATGGTCAAATGATATGAAGAGGCAATTTTTAGATGAAGTAATCAAAGCTATCTATAATCATAAGAAAAAAATGCTTTAAATTACTGTTGATTAAAGAAATGCAAATTAAAACTACTCTCAAGTATTACCTCACACCTATCAGATTGGCTAATATGACAGAAAAGGAAAATGACAAATATCGGACGGACAAATTAAGGCACTACTGCACTGTCAGTGGAGTTGTGAACTGATTCTACCATTCTGGAGAACAATTTGGAACTATGCCCAAAGGGTTATAAAACTGTTCATACCTTCTGACCCAGCAATACCACTACTAGGTCTGTATTCCAAAGAGATCAAAAACAAAAAGTAAAAGGGCCTATATGTTCAATAATATTTTTAGTAGCTCTTTTTAGTGGTGGCAAAGAATTAGAAAATGAGGCTATGCACATCAATTGGAGAATGTGATTATGATGGAATACTATTAAACTATAAGAAATAATGAGCAGGATGCCCTTAAGGAAAAAAATAAAACAAAACAAAACAAACAAACTAGAAAGACTTATATGAAATGATGCAAAGTAAAATGAGCAGAACCAGAACATTATATACAATAACAATATGGTACAATGATCAACTGTGAATGACTTAGCTCTTCTCAGAAATAGAATGATACAAGACAATTCCAAAGGACTTATGAAAAATGTTATCCATCTCCAAAGAAAGAACTGATGGTGTCTGAATGCAGATTAGAGCATTTTTTTTAAACTTTACTTATTTTTCTTGTTTTTTTTTTTTTGGTCTGTGTTTTCTTTTACAACATGACTAATATTGAAACATGTTTTGCATGGCTGCACATAAATAATAAAATTGCTTGCCATTTCAGTGGGAGGGGTAGGAAGAAGGAAAAATAATTTGAAATTCAAAATTTAAAAATAAAAACTGTTAAAAATTGCTTTTACATGGAAATGGGGAAATAAAATGTTAAATTAAAAATACATATATGTACATATATTTTTTTCTTGTTCATCCTGTCCATTTATAGGTGATACAATTGAAACTCAGAAAGATGAAACAATTGTCAAATAATGCTGCTTTCTAGTTCAAAGCTGACAGAATTGAAGAATCACAGTTTGGGAGTTTCCTTAGAAGACATCTAGCTGATCAAGAATCTGTCCTTTACCATACCAAACACGTTCATTCAGTTTCTCTTTAAGACTCTGAATAAGATAAAGGAGGAACCCACCACTTCCTAAGGAACTACACTTAGTTGGAAAGTCTAATTAAAACTCTTAACACAGAAGTCTAGACACTACATTAGACTATTACTACTGTAAAGAAATGAACTGGGGCAGCTAGGTGGCACAGTGGATAGAGCACCGGCCCTGAACTATGGAGGGCCTGAGTTCAAATCTGCTCTCAGACCAAACACTTGACACTTACTAGCTGTGTGACTCTGGGCAAGTCACTTAACCCCAATTGCCTGAAAATAAATAAATAAATAAACAAGTAAATAAAGAAATAAAGAAATGAACAAATTAGAAGGAAGATAGCATACTAAACATAAAAGATGTTAAAAAAAAAAGTCCTGAGTTCATTGCAAGTCCATGTCTTTAAAGAATTTATTATGATGAAAATTGAGCTCCTAGGCAGACTACCCTTGGAATACTATAACAATCTATACACACAAATATGCATATGCATATATTATATGCCTGTCTGTACATGCGTATATGTGTGTATACACACACATATATGTGTATATGTACGTGTGTCTGAGTCAACAAATACCAAAGAAGTACCTGAGTACTCTAGTATGTACACTTTACTACCTTATGAGAAATTGATTAGTATATGAAAATTTAAATGTATATAGGAGGGTATCATCTGTATTACTAGAATCATCCTGCTACAAAATTATTCTTCAGCATAGTTCCTGGTATTTAGCAATGTTTGTGCCTCTTTTGTTTGTGTTTTGGAAGGGTAATTAACTATAGGAACATAAAGTTACAGGTTTGGAAACAAGTACTATTGAAAATTAATATGAAAAGAAAATGAGGATTTTTCTTTAATGATCTAAATGTAATAAGACCTTGGAATTGACTTGCACCTTAGGATTTATAGTTCAGTTGGGGCTTTGGTGGTCTGTGAGCCAAAAGGAGAAATTGAGTCATACACTGGAGTTCTTGAAGAGACATACACAACCTGTGACACAGGCTAAGATGAATAAAAGAGATCTCATAATTTGAGGCAGAAAGAATTTGAGAAAAGGTATAACAGATGAAAAGAGACCCCACAGGTATTTCAGAGTAGAAGATTCAAGCTGAAGTAACAGTTTGTCCACCTCTTCAGTAACTAAGGGAATTTACAAATATATATATGTATATGTATACGTGTATATATATATATATATTTTTCTTCCCCCAATTTTCCCTCTTGCTGCTTGTCCATTAACAGAAGCTGTACCATACTCTCTCCTTGCTTATTTATTCTATCACCATTCGACAATATGAATTTTTGCCTCAAACATCAAGAGGTCAGGGATTATTTACTAATAAAAAGAAATTCAAATTGGAGAAGGTAACCCAACCTCTACCTAAATGTTACAACTTTTCCTAATTGTAGGTTCTGACCTGTTTGGATTGTACCCCTAACTTATTGTTTACTCCAAACTTCATAAAGCAACAGAGGAAGGGACTACATGAACTACAGATGGTATTATATTTCCCTTACACTTAAAGAAGGGAGAGGTTAATTCCTGATATAGTGAGTGGCCTATTAAATCCCAAGAACCCAAGGAGAGAGGGAGGAGAGGCCACAATGATTATTGGCCAATTGCCCCCTCCAAAGTGACACCTGCAACTACCAGTATTACACAAGGAAAAGAAATAAAGAAGAAATCCAACAAAACCTTACTTAACATGTAGCTTCTCAGAAACATTAGATCTCTTTGAGACTCTCTAAACTCCAAACTCCTGAGAAACCTCATCACTGGGAAATTTCATTATGCTATAAGATTGAATCTGCTAGTACATCTCATCAGTATACTCTGCCCCTCTGATTGAACCCTGTAAGTGGAGGGCAGGGATTTGGGCTCTAGGGCCTCTATTTCAAAAAAGGGACTCAGCAGAGTTTTTTCCCCTTTTTTCACCAGCTACACTACTTTTGGACTTTACCCATGGTACCTCCACCAACCCCCTTACAGCTTCATTTTTTTTTGTGTTGTCTGCCCCTATCAGATTGTAAGCTCCCTAAGGGTAAGACTTGCTTCATTTTTATTCATATCCTCAATGCTTAGCACCATGTCTGGCATATAGCAGGTTCTTTAAAAATGTTTATTGACTGACTACATAAAGGGAACCACATATATGGGGTTACCTCAGGGTCCCTTTGTCCACTGATCTAAGTTCCTTACGTTGGTTTCTTTGTCTGAAGCAAAACCAATGAATTTCTTATCTTAGTCTTCATAACCTGCTCCCAGAATGACCTATGGTTATAAAATCTGTATTGACTAGACTTAGTGATGCAATTCTGGAAACTGGCTAAAGTGAACTTCATTCAGAGAAGTCTCTACCATGAGTATATCTGATCCCACCTAGTGCCTAGTGACTGGGCCTTCCTTGGCCATTGATTTTTGTGAAAGAAATGAGAGAAGACAAGATTGACCATGCTTCATTATGGCTAAGTATCATGGTATAGTTCTAGGGTGGCTTCCAATAGAAAAATTTAAGAGGATATTTTATTCTTAAGTTTATACCTTTTACACACACACACACACACACACACACACACACACACACACACACACAGTCTTTTGAAATTGACCTTGGATGCTATGGTAGCCACACATGTTGTGATATAGTCTATGGAAAAGAAGACGAACTGATTCAATTGGCACTTACCTGTCTGGCCTGCTCCAGATCAATTTTGTTCCCCACTAGCACCAAAGGAATGTCGTAGGTGTGGCGAACCTGATAAATGAGCTCTTTAAACCCAGCAGCTTCCTGGAAGGACTGCCGGTCAGTGACAGAGTAGCATATGATGAAGCCCTCTCCACCTCTCATGTACTGGTCCCGCATAGCTGTGAATTCTGCCTGCAGAGGAAGGATAAGAATAATTTTATAATTTAGAACAGAAGAACAAACACATAACATCAATAGAATAGGAGGTCAAATCTCCAGAAGCACAGTGACTAAGCATTGCATGTTTTATTTTGTTTTTTAGGATTTTTCAGGATTTGTTTCTTTTAGGATTTTCAGACTTTCAAAATAATTTTGTATTTATTTAGTATTAGCTTAATATATGGACATATATCATAGCTTTAAAACAGGAAGGAGACTTTGGGGTCATCTAATACATCTGTTACCCCCCAAATCATTTTAGAGATAAGAGAACTGAGACTCAGAGGTTTGGTCACTTGTCTAAAGTCACCCAGGGGTAACTGGAAAGAAAGGGATTTAAATCCAGGTCCTCTCACTCCAATTTCTATCCTTTTTCCATTATACCCCATTTTGTATCCCCACCTACCTAGAAGAAAGTAAGGGTTACACATGTAGATGCTTAATAAATATTTGCTGAATTAAATGTATAGGTGAAATCTTATCATTTCATTATGTGATTACTAAACACTTAAATAGTTTGTTTTTAGGTATACACATGTTTCCATTTCAATGATGTGTTAAGGGATGATTTTAAATAGCATTGTGTGTGTGTGTGTGTGTGTGTGTGTGTGTGTGTGTGACAGAGAGAGAGAGAGAGACAGAATGACTATTCTCTATTCTATCTCCAGACAAGGATTCCTTGTTTCCTATAGTATACTGTGTCTCTCTGGATTTTCACCTATAGCAATATTTGCACTTACTAATTCTATACCAACATATCCTTAAAGATCTGTCATTCTGATCATAGGAACATGGATCTAGAATTGCTATGGACCTTCGAAGCCGTCTAATCCAACCTTTTCATTTTTTAGAAAATGATATTTAAGCCCGGAATGGTAAAGTGACTATCCTGGAGTTGTGTAACATTGCATGAGAGGAAGAATATGAACCCAGTTCAGAGTCAGGTCTCTTTCAGCCACCAAATGGGTTACCCACTCTTGTTAGGTGTGAGAATGAAATGGTATAACCAATACAGAAGTGCTTTGAAGAACTGAAAACCTGATATAATATTTTATAGTACTTCTTAGCTTTGATGTGAAAGGGTAAATCAAGTTGAATGTCTTTGTCACCATGGGACCATGTGCCAAATTATCATGGAATTAAATTAAATTCAAATATGACTTCATTTATCAAATATTCTTAATATGAATATTGTGTTCTAATAATCAATGCAGAATACCCTCTTTCCTCTGACCACACAGTTGCCAATTGCTAATGTAATAAATAAACCCTCAAAGAGGCATTGGGGAAAACCAGGACACAAGATTGAGCAAGAACTTTGGCTATGTATTACCTGAATAATGGATGCTACTGTAATCATTTTATAAGGTAGAATTCAATGTTCAACATGTTATTTCCCCTTTCATTTATCCATGAATTAAAGAACAGTACTCTTTGTATTCCAATCATCCTGCATGTTAATATCTTCCTCAATTGCTTCCTGCCATAAATGAAACTTGTTGGTTAATAATTTAGAAACATTACTAGATTCCATTTGCTGAGCATAAGCAAGAGAATTGCTATGAAACAAACTTACTGTGTAAAATCTTACCCCCCCAAAAGAAAATGTGTCTTATATATTAAAGACAAGTGGAACCCGAATATGTAGTTTTAGCTTTTTCTTTTTATATGTTAGTTATTATGGAGTCAAAATGAATGGTTAGGAAAAGGTGTGAAATGTCTTAATTTTGAAGAAAAAAAAATGGGAAAAGTCATCTTTTTTTTAAAATTACTAAAACAAAGAATTAGAAGGTAGTATGAAAATCTACTAAATATATTATAATTTCCTTTTGGCTAACATATTAAATTGAAACTTCTCTGCTTGCAGTTCAAGATTGGCTATAATTTGGTACCTGCCTAGCTCTCCATGGTAACATTATAGAAAAGAAAGATATAAGATTTGGAGTTAGGAAAGCTTGGTTTTTCTCTCTCTCTTTTTTTTTTCTCTCTCTCACTTTTTGCCATTTGTTTTAAAATCATTTTTGAGATTATGTAAGTAGTGAGGCTACTCCAAATGAAGTATACAAAAGTCAAGCTCTACAAAGTAGAGTGGAGATGCACATAGGGGTCAATATCAGGCTACAACACATTTTTAATAAAGAATTGTACAGTAAAAGCCATGAGAAGGATGTCATCAGAAAAATACTTAGTGGTGAAAAGATGGTATAATGGAGATAATGATGGAACAACTTCTGTGCTTTATTAGTATCCATACAAAGAACTTAAGAGGAAAGCCTCCAATACATTGAGTAGACAACCTCTAAAAGATTTAGGAGATGACATAGACAAAGATCTCAGAGGATAAACAGGCATCCTTGATAGGAATACACATATTTCTAAGATTGTAGATTCATTAAAAATTTTGAAAGGCTATCTACCTCATAGGTTTCTTGTGAAGAAAGCTTTATTTATTTATTTGTTTATTTATTTACTTATTTCTAAAGTTAACATGCCATGTAAATATGAGATCCTCACTTCACAGGATTACCATGGAAAAGGAATTGTGTAGATCTAGAAGAACAGAGACATAAGCTATTAAAGATAGCTCCTCTTTCAGAAGGTTTTATACTCAGTGGAGTTGCAAAAAGTCAATAAAATTCTACTCCTGCTTCCTAACCCCGGCTCTCTGTGTGCCCTGTAAAAGCGCCATAAACAATATGGAGGCTTTTTTTTTTAAGCTCCAGTTTTGGTGGCCTCTTTTCTGTCCCTTCACAGCATTTTTTAAAATTATTCAGATAAGGAATTGTTGATCTCTACAGTTGTGTTTCTTTCCTCATTACTTTTCTGTTCTTTATTATCTCTCCACAGTTGTCATCACTTCCACTATCTGCTATGTTTAAAAGCAAAGCACGACAAATGCAGTGATAATCTGAGTGTGAGAAGATAATTTATTAATAGAACACATATTAAATACTGCCTGTATGTAAATTGCTGGGTCAGACAGTGATAAAAAACAGAAACATATCTGTCTCGAAAGTCTTAGTATATTTTAAATGGTTTAAAAGCTAGAGCTGAACCAAGATTTTTGGGACACCCTATCTAAATATGTGAATACCATGTCCTCGAGGTATTTACAATCTAGCAGCGATTATATATATAGATAAATGTAATGTGAATTAGTCTGTAAGAAATGTCTATAGCCGAGTAAACTCCACTGTGAAATTGGAAGGGAAGAAATATGTTTTTGTTTGTTTGTTTGTTTTTTCACCCGGGGGAGGGAAGCAAGAATCAAGAGAAAATTTCATGGAAGATGTAGCATTACAGCTCAGCCTCGAAACAAAGTGTCAATGTGCAGGGAAGAGAGGAGGGGGCATTCCTTGTGTTGATCTTTGACATACTTTGGAGGTAACAGTGTAAATGTCATAGAGTTATCTGTCTCTCTGATCAGTGCATAGAAAAGAAGCAAGGAATTAGGTTGGATTCACACTGGTACCATGAGAACTAAAAAAAAAATCTTTAAGCCTATTTTTCAATTGAAATAAAACTAATTATATTACCAACTTCATATGTATACCATAAGGAAAACACTTTGAAAATTATAAAGCAATCTACACTTCAATAATTTCAGAAGCCTTCATTTCATACTTGAGTATTTTGTCCATAATGAAGACCACAATCCTTCCACCTTAGTAGAAGGTTTCATTAGTTTGTTGTAGCCAAAAATTAACACCAACTGCTGGTCAACATTTTTGTGATGAATTTCCTCTAGTTTGCCTTCTAGGAGGTGGTCTTATATGAGAGAGAAACAATACATCACTCTGCCATGATACAGAGCGTTCCCGGTTGAAGAGCTTCTGTAGAATACTTCCCACTTGCATAGTCTTCAATGAACCTAAGTTTCACCTTTATGCCAAAGTGAGACATCAGAGGAGAACTTTAGAGTAAAGAGCACTCTATGATTATGGGTAATTATTGATAAAGCAAGGTAGTGAATAATCACAAACTGAGAATGAGGTTAGCAAGAAAAGAAAGCAGGGAACAAAGGATAAAACTGTTAAGCATGTTCTTTGTTAGAGGACAGAAAGTGTAGTATATAGTTACATCCCCACTATCATGAGATGATATTGATCTTGTGTCATGATGTGCATGTTCATTCCAGTTCATGGAACCACACACTTGCTCTACATTCCCTGATATCATGACTCCCAAGTTCTCTTTATTTTTATTGTTGGAAAGGAAATGATGTGTCAATGGTGCCTTCCTTCATCAGAGAGCCCAGGCAGGTAAAGACTCCAGCTAATTAACATTTATGGCTAACAGTTCTCTTAAATTCAGGTTTTTGTTGTTGTTGTTTGTTTTTGTTTTTTTTTTAACTTTAAAAGTCCTTTCCTTATACTCTTGCCTCTTTTGAGGTCCCCAATATCCTTCCTCTTCTGCCCTTCCTTTTCACTTTTCATCTCATACCCTCGCTAAACTTCTAAGAAATGTCACTTCATCCTCAATTTTTTTTTCAGTCTTTCTATTTTCTTGCACTGATGGTAACCTGGATTTCTCTGGAAGACAGCACACTTGTTACCACTGCTCCATTTTTGACTCCTCCCACTCTAATGTGCCCTGATGCCCTCATTCAGGATGAGTCAACATAAGCCTTCCTTTCTGCTGCCACTTACAGATACTTCATCCACCATTAGCATTCAGAAATCTCTAAGGACACTTCTGGCACAAAATCTATGATCTATCTCCCACCCAAGAAATACGGGCACCCCCCAAAGCTTTACATTCAGTCCTTTCTTTAGTTATCTATACAATACTTTCTCTCCATGGGTTAGATGGTCACCTTTATGGAGTTAACTCCTAATTCTAGATAGCTAAGTCTTAATGTCTCTTCTGAATCCTAACTGCATTATCATTCACTGCCTGTGAGATCACAAAATGTCTGTAAGAAACTCACTATCTTCTCTCATAGGTTCACCCTTTCCTTCAATTTCTCCCCA